TTTAGTCTATTTCACGCAGCCTTCTTCTATCTTCGTGAAATAATTCACCCCCCCCCCTGTCACGTCCCTGTTACTTTGTCACGCGATATTTGTACGGAATGTTTTGAAAGACTCGTGAGCAAGATCTTACAGGGTGATAAAATGCTGCATTTCGCATATTTCATATGTATTTTTATTTTAATACCCTTAACAAAGGGTTAAATTTGTTATTTGTGCAATGGATATGGCGTGAATGGAAGAGTAACAAGGCCGAATTGTTGACAACCGACATGGGATGACAAAATGGCGCCGAATTTGGACAAAGTTGTGGATTTACCTTGTCGATGGTTAAACAGGTATGATCTACTTGAAACCAAGTTGAAACTTGTTTAAATGTTCTTGATACCATTATGTCTGAGATGATTTACATTTTTTGTAGGATGTCGACGAGATCGCCGATAAACAGCGGAGTAAAGTGGAGAACTTGGCCAAATACGTCCATTGGCAGGAGGTAGGCACATTTCAAATTATTATTTCGGTCAGAAAATATTAACTATTTTACACCAAACCAGTGATAATATATTAAAATAAGTACCAATTATGTTTCTATCAAAAAGATTTAGGGAAAAAGGTAATGTAAGTCCACTGCTGTTTATCTGAAGTTGCAAGCCACAAATTGACGTTTAACTATGATTATTGTATGGTCATTTTCTTGTGAAATATTAGTGCTAGGCATTTCACACTTACCAATGACCACCCCAAAAAGTACCATCTCTGAACCATATAAGCACCTCAGAATAGCCAAAGCTTTTATGGTTTGGTAGATAGCAGTATGGCGAAAGCGTCGTTTTTGGGTGTGGTCAGTTTCGGACATTTCGTCCCGGATTGGGGTTCGGGCAGCGTTACCATGTTGACCGTCATGGTCAACTCGCCCTAAAACAGTTGAGATTATCTGTCCTAAATGAAATGCATACAAACTCATATACAGGTCCTAGACTATATGAAATGCATCACTTCTCCATCGATCCAAGGTGGTGAGTTGGCGTCCTTGACATTTTTTATGGGAACAAATTTATGGACTTGCAAATTTATGGACAAATTTATGAACAAATAAACAAACAAACAAATTGAACAAATAACTGAACAAATAACTAAACAAATTACTGAATAATTACAAATTATTAATAACTGAACAAATTATTAATAATAATAATTAATTAATAATTAATAATTATTAATAATTACAAATTATTAATAACTGAACAAATTTATGGACTGTGTCCATAATGGTATGATAATAAATTTTCTAGACTTAAATTTTACAGAAATAAAATTTGCCCCAGTCCCCCGAATTTCTCTGATAGGCCCTGGAATCAACTCCAACATTCTTGAGTCCTATAATTCTTTATTTCAAAACAAGTCAGACGTATACCCACATATCGTCCTTTAAGTACGACAGGGTTCGTACAAAACTTAGAAGGAAAATTGTTTGACATTCAAAACGGACATTTTGTTAAATTGATTTTGCATGTCCATATTTGACAAAGCTGTTTGAAACTCATTAAAGTTAATTGTGTTTTGAACAACTCAACGTCAGGTTTTACTGATTCCTAATCCTTTTTCTGCAATATTTAGTCCTTGAATTTGCTGATACATGCATGACCTTGAATGTCCTTGAAAAGTCTTTGAATTTGGCTCTTCCTCACATGTACGAAATAACCCTGGTACGACAAAACGTTTAAACGTTTTGACTTTTAACAACAATTACGCGGTTTTGTTCTAAAGTCATATATAGGCCTATATAGTACCAGCAAAATGTAAGTATTCGAGAATTCCGCGTACCTACGTGTAATACTTGGTTAAAAACAATGATGTACTAAGCCGTAATAATTATACTAAGGAATGAACGTACAATACTCACATAGCCTTAACCACATGTGGGTGGACGGCAGATATACGAAATACACAGTGTAGCCTACAACAAGGACTAAATTTATAATATCTCACTGCATGGTCTACTTTCCAGACCCTGTGAAGATATTTTTAAGAAAACCATTTACTCATATGATCAGATACAGGAAAATTACACAACACTGAACACAAGCGACTGTGCAAGTCTTAGCTATCACGAACTCAAAATTTGCAATATCGCAGTATGGTCAAATCTGACCCTGTGATAAATGCACATCATCAAATCACACCTATCAATTACTAAGTAATAACTTTACATACAGTAAATGCTAGCTTCAATTACGATATTTCTACAATGGATTGACATATAAAGACACAATACAGCGCACCATTATACACGCGCACCTCTTATACGGTGTTTCACAGCATGGCCATGGTCTACTTTCAAGACCCCGTTGAAAATATAAGAAATCCATTCGATATATAATGAACATTAAACCACAGGTCCAAGACGCATGTAGAGCCGGATACCTACCACAAAATTAAAATATACGAACTACACAGTTATAACAAAGACCAAGTTTACAATATCTCTCTGCAGGGTGTACTTTCAAGACCCCGTTGAAAATATAAGAAATCCATTCGATATATAATGAACATTAAACCACAGGTCCAAGACACATGTAGAGATAACTATCACAAAATTAAAATATACGAACTACACAGTTATAACAAAGACCCAGTTTACAATATCTCTCTGCAGGGTCTACTTTCCAGACCCTGTAAGATATTCACTCAAATGAGCACCATTCACTCAAATGAGATAAAGGAAAATTACACAACACAAAATCACAAGCGACTGTGCAAATTTTATTACCAATTCCTAATTTGCAATATCGCGGTATGGACAAATCCGACTCTGTGATAAATGCACGTCATCAAATCACACCTATCAATTACTAGGTAATAACTTTACATACAGTAAATGCTAACTTCAATTACGATATTTCTACAATGGATTCACATATAAAGACATAATACAGCGCACTTTATACACGTGCACCCCTTATACGGGGTTTTCACGGCATGGTCTACTTTGAAGACCCCGTTGAAAATATAAGAAATACATTAGACATATAATGAATATAAGTAAACCACAGGTCCAAGACGCATGTAGAGGTCCTATTACCTATTCCAAAATTAAAATATTGCGCAGCCATTCACTCGCGGCTTATAGATAACAACAGTCCTCGTCAAAAATCCTTGGCGCACTTAGTAAAACAAGACACCTGCTCAAGGCGTTCGCTCCGTCGGTAAAGGGCAGCAACAGAATTGCTTGGGGGTGATTGCACATGCACATCTGGTTGCATATATTATTAATTATAGGTCGTATACATAATACAGTTCTACTTCAAATGTTGTAGTACACACTTGCACATCAGACTCTGTATAGTACACACTTGCACACCCAAAAGGCTTGGGATAAGTATCATTGTGAAATAATGAGGTGATATATAGTATCTAGTAACTTCATCAAATTTCCATTGTGCTTTATGTCAGTATTGTATTCTGGGTTGAAAAATTTTTCTTTTAGGATAGAAAATGTTTCAAGAGAACTAGTAACAGTTTTCAATATTCTTCAGGGACATAACCAATAACCATCAATCCATAATACATTAGTCATAATTAATGAAGAGCGTAGCCGTTGATAACTTACCAAAATACTTTACCAATTACTATGTTACTAACAACAATATACATGAACACAATACAAGAAACGCATCCAAACTTCATAAATCATACTCCAGAACTAATTTTGTCAAACATTCACTTCAGAATAAGGGTGTAAATATCTGGAATGAGCTAAATACTGACTTAAAAAATTTTAAATCCTATTGCACATTCCGAAAAAAAAAATAAAAAAACCACTTCTTGCTGTTGCATTCGGAAACATAGATTTTATTATATGTATGTTTGTCATTATTTGAAACATTATAAAAATTCTTCAATCTCATCTTTTTTTCTTTTCTATTAAACTTACTTTAAGTTCTGACCAATCAGTGTAAATAATTAAATACTTTTAACCTAGGGGTCTTAATTAATCAAAAGCCTTTGTTTGGTTTCTAGTAGACCTCTAGCCCTATTTCTGTAATTCTATATTCTATATATACATATATATATATATATATTTTGTATGTATGGGCGAAAACTTTAAATAAATAAAAAAAATTTAAAAAAATAACCTCACCAAAGTATAATGAGCAAAATTTCACAGATGACATAGTCTTTGAGAATATGTTGCATGTGCAGGTCGAACATTACCGAATCATCAATAGTACAGTATAAATAAGGGGCCACGTCCATATTCATGTTGGCACAAATCGAATCGACTTTATTATTTCACCTTCCAACCCCAGATAATCGATATTCAGTTGTATTTTGACCGATAAATTCACAATTATTGTATTTTACTATCGTCATTGGCTGGGATTGTGTTTTGATACAATTTTTAAATAGTGATTCGGTTTTCGCCGGAGTGGCAATAAACAAGATATAACCGTTCTCGAAATTAAAAGGTCCATAATACATGTCATATTCTTGTTGTTGGTTAGAAGTGGGCAACCCACTGGCGGCCCAATCTCCGAATGGTCTAATATTTTGAATATTTATACGGAATATTTAACGGTTATAATATTTAATAACGAAATAATTCAAAAAATATTAGCAGTATATGTAAAAAATATATCTATAAAGGACTATCTTGTTAATGGAATGCATTTGTTGTGTTTCTGAGTTTTCGTTGATGCGATTGCTTTACGTTTTCGTTGTACTTGACCGGTCGTCAGTACTGGCACTGGGTACTATAGTGTTTATATTATCAAACTTTAAGGATTTATTCTCTCGCTCGTTTACTACAATACTCTCTCTCTAAACACTACTCTGTCTCCCCTCGTGTTCCTCACGTGACTGTGACGTCACAGACACTACATCCCTCTTTTACGTGAAAATGCTTAACCAAACGTCAATAAACATGCAAAACTAAATATCAATTGTCAGAGTTTGTAACTGTCAATTCGTATACTGTCTTACTCTTCCGGACTGCGTGAATGTCACTTTTCATGTCCAAGATATTCAGGAGGTTTTCGCTGTCGCTGGGGTCTAGGCTTTGCTGTTGTATCAACCACTTGGTCTGGTTTCCGTTTGGCTTCGTGTGGATGATTATCTGTTCCCTCCGGCGGCAATTTGCGAACTGCTGACGAATTCCTCATTATCTCGGGCTCAGCTCGTCTCTTTAGAAGTAAACTTGTGCCTTTCGTTCCTACCACCACTATATATGGGTCTGGGTCATATTTTGTGGATAATTTATTCTTTCGTTCTTGCTTCAAAAGAACTTTGTCACCCCTCTTTATGTTGGAAGGTGCTGCACGTCTTTTCTCATCCGCATACTTCTTCATCTTTGCTTTCTGACAACGATCACGCTCTAGAATGGCGGGGTCGACAACAGGTGACGTTGAAGCTGGCGAACGGCTAGTGTTCAACGACGGGAGCTTGGTGCGTATCTCTCGACCAAACAAGAGAACAGCGGGTGATTTGCCAGTAGTGCAATGAGCTGTTGCTCGGTAATTGAGTAGGAAGGTGTTGAGCTCGCTTTTCCAATCTTTTCCTTCGGTATTTGCAGCGCGAATGGCCTTCTCGAGTGTGCGGTTAAACCGTTCGACTTCGGAATTGGCTTGTGGCCAATAAGGTGTTACTCGACGGTGTGTGATGCCGTGCTCTCGAAGATACAAATCAAACTCTTCAGCCACAAATTGAGGTCCATTGTCTGTAACGATTGCTTCTGGGAGACCATGCACAGCGAAGCACGATTTCATGCGATTGATGATGACTGCTGCAGTTGTGCTCTTTAAAATGAAAACTTCTGGCCATCGAGAACATGAATCAACTAAAACCAGAAGCGACTCACCACTAGGGAAAGGACCACATAGATCAGCATGCAAGACGGTCCACGGACGTGAAGGCATTTCTGTCATGGTAAGTGGCTGTGGGCATGACTGGGAGGACTGGGCCTGACAGGAAATACAGGAACGAATCAAGTGTTCAACGTCTTTGTCGATCCCAGGCCACCAGACTTTCTCTCGCAAGAGCTGTTTTGTTCGAACAATCCCTTGGTGGCCTTCGTGTGCCAGTTGTAGGGTGGTAGGTTGTAGACTGGCTGGAACCACGATACGCGAGCCACGAAGAAGTAAGGACTCTGTCGCTGTCAGTTCATTTTTAACGCAAAAATAGGGATCTGTTTCTTTAGTTTTCGGCCAGTTACCCGAGACGACTGACTGGTGGACTCGCTGGAGGACGGGGTCTCGCGCCGTAGCCTGCTCTAGCTGAGTAAGGGTCATTGCTTTGGGGATGGCGTTGCGGGCTATGTAGTGGACATACTCCTCCGCAATGTTCCGTTCTCGGTGCACTGTGTTTGGCAAGGGCAGGCGAGATAACATATGGGCAGGGTTGGTGGCACCCGGAGAATATTGCAGGCGAAATGTGTAAGGCTGGAGGAGTAGTCCCCAGCGTTCAATTCTTGCTGGGGGCTTTGAGGTGGGACTATAAATCACCTCGAGGGGTTTCTGATCGGTAAGCAAGTCAAAGGTGGTGCCATATAAGTAAAGGTGAAACTTTTCGCAGCCCCAAACAACTGCTAGGGCCTCACGCTCTGTTTGGGAGTAGCGGCGTTCCACTGGGGTAAGCGTTCGACTGGCATATGCGACGGGTCTCACCGCACCCTGCTGGGTTTGAGTCAAAATAGCCCCCAGACCAACAGGGCTAGCATCGACACGTAACTGGGTGGGAGCTGCAGGGTCATAGTGGGCCATGACACAGTCACTAGTTAGCATTTTCCTAAGTTTGTCAAACGAGGATTGATGGGTGTTGGTCCATTGCCATGGCACAGCTTTACGGGTTAGCTCGGAAAGGGGGTAAGCAATGGTGGAAAAAGCTGGGATAAATCGCCGACAGAAACTGGCTAGGCCCAGAAAACTGCGAACCTCTGAAGCATTCGTGGGTGTTGGGGCATTACAAATAGCCTCGACTGACTGGGCGTTCGGGCGAATCCCACGGGCAGAAATATCAAAGCCAAAAAAGTTATTTCAGAAACACTGAACATGCATTTCGCACTGTTTAACGTAAGTCCCCGTTCTTGAAGTCGAGCAAGTACTCCATGCAGATTTCTGTCATGTTCTGACTTGTCCTTGCCGAAAACAATTATATCATCCGAGATGTTCTTGACCCCCGGTAGACCGTGTAGAACTTGTTGGATAGCATGTTGATAAATCTCAGGAGCAGCGGATATCCCGAACATAAGACGCTTATACCGGTACAAGCCATCATGAGTAGTAAAGGTGGTCAATTCTCTGGATTGCTCGTCCAGTTCAATTTGATGGTAGCCCCACTTCAGGTCTAATTTCGAAAAAACAGCTGCTCCATTGAGATCCTGAAGGCTTTCTTCGACTGTGGGAATGGGATACCGCTCTCGTATTACAGCCGTATTTACCTGGCGCATGTCTACGCAGACACGGATTTCACCACTAGATTTTGGTACGACCACCAAGGGTGAGACCCAGGGTGTTGGGCCACGGACCTCCTCGATTATATCCAGCCTTTCGAGTTCTTCAAGTTTGGCGGAAACTTGCTTGCGAACGTGGAAGGGAATTCGACGTGGGGGCTGAGCAACAGGTTTGATGTTGGTGTTGATGGAAATTTTCTGCTGGTAATTGGTGAGTTTTCCTACTCCGTCAAAGACACTGGGATACCGTTGGCGAAGGGAATGGGGAGATACTGCACAATTGATGGACGAAACTTGAGGTCCAACCCGCAAAAGTCCCAGTTGAGTGGCAGTTTGTCGCCCGAGAAGACAACCAGCGTGTTGGTCGTGTACTACTACGAACTTGGCCACGATTTCTGCAGAATTGCATTTTACCCGACCGGAGACTGTTCCCAGGATATTAAGTCGGGTCGTAGAACTGTATGCGTAAACAGGAAGGGTAGAAGGCATTAACTGGACTCCTTTTCGCGCTTTTAGACGATGATATGTCTCGAGATCAAGGACGTTAACACTAGCCCCCGAGTCAATAAGCATTTGCACTGGAATGTGTTCAATTTCCAACATATGAAGGCTGTCCGAGCGATGATGCACATTATGAGCCGTGAGAGTAAATAAACATTCGTTCTCAGAAGAGTCATCGTCAGACTGTTCAAGCTGTCGAGCATTCTCCCTGTATTGCTTCGGTTTGTTGGTCTTTTGGCGACAGACCCTAGCAAAATGACCGGACTTGCCACAACGTCGGCAGGTTTTGTCAAGGGCAGGACATTGGACATCCTTCGCACGGTGCCCTTCGTTTCCACAACAATAACAAACACATTTTTGCCTATTATTGTCTTCACGCTTCGCAGAATTACGCCGTGGTTGTTGAAAATCTCTATTTCGTTCGATGGAATTGAGGTGAGTGGATGATTCAAACTTTTGTTCGATTTCTAAGGCCTGGCGATCGGCCAGTTCGAATGAACGAGCAATCGATAATAAATCGTTCGAAGCACACTTTTCAATGACTTGGTCACGGATCATTTCATCTAAACTTGTATCGAACTGGCACGTTTTTGCAAGAGTTCTCAAGCGAGTTACAAAAGCATCCATGGACTCGCCGGCACGTTGGGTTGCTTGTCTGAAAACATGACGTTCGAAAGCTATGTTTTTACACGAGTTGAAATGTGCATTCAATTTCTCGAGCGCTGTTTTGTAATCCTCGCCAGTATCAGGCAACGTCTCGAAGATTTCTTGTACTTCTGCACCCGCTAAATGAAGTAGAATGGCCCGCTTTTGCTTTTGATCGGAGATGCCCGAAGCACGAATGTAGTAATCGAGCGAGTTCGTCCATTTGTCCCAACGTTGTGCCGACGAACTCGTTTCAGAAACAGAAAAGGGTGGAATAGCCGGTAAATCAAGGACCTTAGCCATTTCGTATGAAAATCAACCAACGTCGATACTTTTACTTTACCTCGTCGCCAATTATAGTGTTTATATTATCAAACTTTAAGGATTTATTCTCTCGCTCGTTTACTACAATACTCTCTCCCTAAACACTACTCTGTCTCTCCTCGTGTTCCTCACGTGACTGTGACGTCACAGACACTACACACGCGATTGTTGGTACCAATGTTTTAAATTTAAACCATCTTCACTTGCCTGAACGTCTAGAAGAACATAATTAGGAATATACAGAATATGTCTTTTAACGTGATGTGACTGTTGATTGTTGATGGATTGTTGCAAGTTTTCATATTCTTTCCAAGTAACGATAGTCTACTGTCTACCGTATTTCTCATTTGGCAAACAATTCCTACTATTGTTTTATTGTTTTTTTTGTCCAATATATTAATGTTTCGTATTTATTAGCATGTACAGGTAGTGTCCATTGTTGGCCATCATTATTGTCCAGAAGGTATAGATGTAACATCTTGACATACAAATACAATGTTCCCGATACCCATATGGTAGATTGGAAACAGGTATGGCAAAAATAATACATGGCATTCCATCCCATTGTATTAGATGTAATATATCCATACAATCTTCTAATTCAGCATTCTTGTTTTAATAGAAATTCTTTTCTGTTAATCCAGAAGTTCCCATCCACTTTCATGCGATGTAATATATCCATATTATATTTTGACTTTAACAACCATTTGGTTTCATCCAGCAGTTAACATCTGATGCTACCATTCACATCTGTCAGAATTGCAAAACTATAGAAAAAATAATTACCAGCATGAGATATTTACTTAATATAAACATAGTAAGTAGCACAGAAATGAATGAAAATAAAAGTAGGGCAGGGGCAGGGGTTAAACAAACAAAAAACTTACCATTTTTTCATCTTGCAAATCATAATATTTTCATAGATACAGTGATAACAAGGAGTAAATTAGTTATTATATAATAAATTAAATTATTTAAAAGGGTATATAGTCAAACTACATACCAAAATATAACTGGGATCCATATATGAAATCCCTCTCTTATTCAAACTCAATAGTTCTCTTATTCAATAGTTCTCTTATTCAATAGTTCTCTAATTCAATAGTAACTGCACTGCTAGTAGTTTGTGCTAACCGATCTAGCCTGTTTTCTTCTTCAAGCCTATATTGTAAGTTAGCTGATGATTTCAAGCTTGTTAATCGTTCATACGTCATCGGCTCAATGACACAAGATGCAAGTGATTTTACTCTGCTAATAGCAACATACGAACCCCCCAGCAGTTCTTTCAGATTTGCCAATATGTATCCATGCTTTTGGAAGTGTAAGTCCTTGGCTATTGTGTATTGTTAGAGCCCACGCAAGCCTAAGAGGTAACTGTTGCCTCTCATGGAAACCTATTTCTGTCTGTGATGTGACAGTAATTGGATATATTGGGATACACAATGGTTGGTTTTCATTAAAAACAGGTCCTCTATAGTTTTCAAATTCTGCTATTACTGCAATAGGTAAGTCAGGTGGTTGATGGTTGTTCTGATAGATAATATCAACAACTGTCCCAGTAGCCCCATTACAGAGACCAACACTTGACCACAAATTCATGGTTAGCACTTTTTGCCAGAAACACAACAGGTTCTAACCCAGACATATCATCTGAGGATATCTTTTTGGCAAATGCTGATGAATGGCGTGCATTAATATGAGCAATTGGATGCTCAAGTTTTGTTAGCTGCTCATGGTTGTAATTAGCAACTTGTTCATTACTATAAAAAAGTCTAGTAGAATCTTCAAAGTCACATAAATTAGTGAGATTCGATGGTTGACGTGTCAGAAGTAATTTCCAGTCATCAACTGTTGAATCACCTTTGCGAAGTCGTAATAACAAATCACTGAACTGTACTTGCTCAGATGTCATACCTTGCACACGTTGATTTACAGTGAGTTTAACAACTTTGTCAAACATATGATATGCTTGATGACCTTGTTCACCAACAGCGTTTGATGGTTTAGCATGGTAAAGAGGTTTATCTGCTACTGGTGGCAATTGACCTGGATCACCAGTTAAAATTAACGATTTTCCTCCAAATACTTTATCATTAGAACCAGTTGCTTGTGTGCAACGCTTGTCTATCCAACCAAAAGTAACTTGGCCAAGCATAGAGTATTCATCAATAATGATGTATCCAATGTTATTAACACTCTCTTGTAACCTGCACAAGCTTTGTCCTGTCAGGTCTTTATTACCTCTTGATCCTATAGGTAACTTTAATAGAGAATGCACAGTTACACCTCTAATGTTATAAGCTGCTTTACCTGTGGTAGCAGCAACAGCACATTTACTTTGCAAAAGATTTCTAATAGCATTAATAAGGTAACTTTTACCAGTTCCTGCAACACCATTTATAATGAGACATAATGGCTCTTTTTCGGATGATGTATCATGAAAATGAGACTTAACAATATCATAAGCAAGTTTTTGCATTTCACTAAAACTGTTGATATCAACAACAGTATATTGCTCATCAATAGTGTATTCCTCTTTGTTTGTTTTTATCCATGTTGGCATTTCTTGGATTTGTTGTTCTGAATAATTGGCTCTGTCAAGATGCCAGTCATATGTGGACTCTGGTGTTTGTTCAGAGTTGTCAAAAGGAGTGTTAAGGTCTGATAACATCATCCAGTCTTCTCGAGTTGTCTCCTGTTCTTCAGAAGGTTCATCTTCTGATTCTTGAGTTTGAATGACAGCTTGTAATTTATCAAACCAGTCTGGGACATTAGACTGCCCATAAGGTGTTTGTAAAAAATCATGCCAACAATTGATCAGAACCTCGTCAGTTGGTTCTTGGTCACCCCATGCATTGTTTTGGGTTGTTCGCCACGGTTTATACCTCAAAAGTTGATAATTACAATATAGGCCAAAATTTGGACCTTTCGGATTAGGAGAATATGTTGCAAATATTCGTGGTATAATATTCTCTGGCAATTTTGTCAGTTCATTGTTAACAACTTTGTATGTTGTAGCAAATTGAACAAAGTTCATATTTATTATATTTTGTGAACTTTCATATTGTTCACGATTAGCATACACATCAAGAAGTGAATAATCGGTGCACGATTCACCCTCGTCAGTACTTGCAGTATCACGCACTCTACGTGAACCATTTAGACTAACTGGCATCACTTTAAAGGATGAGCTGTGGAGTTTTAAAGACAACAAATGATGCATGGTCTCTTGAGCTGCATAATGTCTTTCACCAAGAGATTTCATAACTACCTTCCTCATAACTCTACGAGGGTCAGTATTACTGTCAACATTTTGCACAATAGAATTGAATGCCTGTTTCAATATAGGTGATCTTGGTTCACCTTTAGCTGCATATTTTGTGAGATATTCAACACAAGCGTAGTGATCAATAACAACTTGAATATCACAGTTAGCTCTCCATCCTTGGAGCTGAAGTTGTTGATGGTTATTTAATCTGGAGTCATTTCGTTTAGTCATAATCTTAGCTCGATAATGCTCATTATCACCTGAAGTGTGAATTTTTTCAAATTCTAATTTTGTCTTAGGACAAATATCAAAACGAAAATGAAATCTACAATACATTTCAATTCTGTTTCATTTGACTTCTTTCTGAGACAATAACTTGTACTACAACGAGTGTGTCGTTGAACCATGTTTAATAGATCTACATAATCTGATTGTTTTTCATGTTCAGGAATGTCATGACTTCTTTGACACGGATGAACCTCAGGTCTTATCCACATGTCCTCATCTGGTGGATTAGGATTGACGGTTGATAATAACTAATCAACATACTGACATACTGTGTCAGCTGCTTTCTGACCAGCTTCAATATCCTGGTCTAGTTCAGTTGTGTCAGAACAATCATTTTCATCTTTAAATTTTTGAGCTAAGAAACCTTTCAAAGCAGTCTGAGTAAGTTGACACAAACCTGGGTCATTATTAAGTTTAGCAGTACCATGACAATGGATACTACCTCTACCTTGATATTCATATCGAAACCAGTGCCATTTTGCACCAAGTGTGTCATAAAGCCAGTGTTTTACAAAGCTTTCTAATCTTTGGGTGAAAAACCAATCTACAACATGGGGATTGTTGATCACATTCTGTCGTCTTACATCACTGGTAGAGTTACCTAACTCATTGTCAGTATCAGCTTTAAATAAAGCATGTAACTCAGGCCAATGCATATCTGCAGAGGAGAAAGTGAAAAATAATGTTGGTGCTCCAACACTAGTTATGATAGCTTTGAGTTCCTCTCTTACTCTGTTCCAGTAAGCATTAGTACCTGCAATATTGCCAACATATCTTGACACTTTAGACATAAATACATTAGCATTGTTACTGGCAGCCATTTCACGCAGTTCATCGATTGTGAGATGAGCTTCACCTGGGTTCTGTTTGAGGAATATTCCACTTTGTTGTAAAATTCGCTTTCTTTGAATCATATTAAACGCCCAATATGAAAATCTGGGGTGGTTAGCAAAACGGTATACCCATTTACCATCAATAATCTCAGCAAATTCTAGAAGATGCTTTATTCGTTCCTGAAGAGGAACATCTCTCAGAAGTCCTTGATTAGGAGGATCACCTTTCCCATCTGGAAATAAAGTTGGAAAAGCCATTGTGGCCAGATGTGATACCTGATTCTCATTTAATGGATCATTTTCAACTGAGGGCCATGGCACTGGCTCATTTTCAGACAGCTGATTTCTAACAGCTTCAATTTCCTGTTGTTGCTGTTCGCCAACAGGTAAAAAACTACTCATTTCAGTAGAGTCATTATAAACAATATCCTCGGATGGATTATCAGTAGGACCTACATCAGGAGAACAATTGTCATCTGAGACTATGTCATCATCAGTCTCAACGGTCATAAGACCTGGTGGTACACCATTTTCAGGTAAAGAATTTAACGCATCTTCATTAATTAATAACTCAGAATAATGAGGATTATTATTGATAAGCCAAACTAAAGCATTGTGCACTTTTTGCTTTCGCACGGTCACATCTCTGAATGTGTTTTCTCTACCTTTAGCCTTGACAATAATCACAGCTAAGTCTTTAGGATATCTTGGCAAAGACATTGCAAGTTCTTTGACATTTTGTGGCAGGTTAATACAATGCCCTGAATAACCTCGTTGACCACCAGGTTTAATATAAACTCTCATGATAGGCAAAGCACGAGCAATTAACATTTCCTCAATCTGAGTTGAATTCTGCAATTCATGTGGAACAGATGAAGGTATCATTGAATTTTCACAAGAAAACTTTTTAGGAGATTTGTTATCTCTGGAGCATCGGGAACATATGTAAGGTGCCCTTGGTTCAGATTTCAAAGGCCATGCCTCCTGACATTCTGTACACTGACTGACAATGTATTGCACAGACTTATTAATGTTAGCCTTGGCCCAACATTGTTCTTCAATACCACCATTATTGGTTCTGTCAAACATATTTAAATAATCCTGTTGATTTATTTCATGTTGAGGTTGTGACACTTTTCTTGCTCGCTTTTGTTTTTTATAAAGTCTATCTTTCTCAAGCCTTATTTGTCTGTTGGTGTCAGTTTCCTCTGACCGCTTTCTTTTTCTATACTCACAATCCTTTTGAAGTCTAATTTGTCTGTTAGCATCAGTTTCCTCTGACTGCATTCTTTTTTTAGACTCACTTAATTTTTGAAGTCTTATTTGTTGCTCACTGTCAGTTTCCTGTGACTGCTTTCTTTTTTTATACTCACTAGCTTTCGTAAGTCTAGCTTGTTTAGCACCTTCAGTTTCTGCTGAAAGCCTCTTTTTCTGGACATTCTCTCGATCTTTTAAACACTTACTTTTTTGCTCTGAAGCTTTACATACATGTTTATTTAATTGCACAGGTACAATTTCAAATGAATTGGCATGTAATGTCATTGAAAGAGAATACAAATATTGTTCTAACCCTAGAATATTAGCAAATTTCATGACAACAGCAGTGCCATTAGGATCAGGCATGCCACTAGAGTCTCTGGCATGGGAGTCAAATAAATAGAAAAAATCTGTTTGCTTTATCAATGCCATCATATAGCCTTCTAATATCAAAATAGTACAACTATAATTTGAAAACACATTCAAAAGTGCAGTGTGAATGTCATAGTAGTGTGACTCAATTTCTCGGTTGGTTATAACAAGACCTTGAAGCTCTTTTCCATAATTTATAAACCAAATTTGGTTTTCATTGTTTGCCTCATTAGGCACCACAGAATTGTGCTCTACCCCAATGGATAGATCAGTGTTACTTTTTGCCTCAATATATGGGCAGATCAGCAATACTTTTTGCCTCAACAGACTCTACCACAATGGGCAGATCAATGTTATTTTGTGCCTCGATGGGCTCGACCACAATGGGTAGTTGAATGATATTTTGTGCTTCAATGGGCTCTACCACCATGGGTAGACTGTTTTTATTTTGTCGTACCACCACGGGTAGACTGTTACTGTTTTGTCCTACCACCACGGGTGGACTGTTATTATTTTGTCGCAATACTTTTTGCCTCAACAGACTCTACCACAATGGGCAGATCAATGTTATTTTGTGCCTCGATGGGCTCGACCACAATGGGTAGTTGAATGATATTTTGTGCTTCAATGGGCTATTACCACCATGGGTAGACTGTTTTTATTTTGTCGTACCACCATGGGTAGACTGTTTTTATTTTGTCGTACCACCACGGGTAGACTGTTACTGTTTTGTCCTACCACCACGGGTGGACTGTTATTATTTTGTCGTACCACCACGTGTAGACTGGTTCAACGTTATTTTGTGCATCAAAGGAATCCACATGTGTTATAGTTGTATTCGCATGCACCACAGGTGGTATAATACTTGTGTCTATCACAGAATCACATATCTCGTAAGAAAACATGTTCGTACAACATGAAACACTGACAACTTTAGGTAAGTTATCTACAGATAAAAATTCGACACCGGGTTCTAAGACAACAAAGCCATTATCCAGAGCTTGCAAGTACATTTTGTCTCCTTGTAATAAGACATTATTCAATGTTGTTTTTGACCAATCGATCAGTGGGATAATTTGGGCAGTTAAGACGGCTGATAAACTCATAAAAGCACATTGTTTGCCTCTAGATTAAACACTAAAAAGGTCATCGCCTTGATGTATTTCAGAAGAAAGAAATAGAGCCATACTTACCTGAATTTTTCCGAATATTTTCAATCTCTTGCATCCGTATTTAAAAGCTTGAAAAATCTTGAGCATTGAGCACATGGAGATGCGTGCGCGATACAAAATCTTGTTTTGTCGACCGTTCCCCTCATTTACTGTAACAAACATTCCTGAAGTTTAATTATTCCCCCCGGATTACGACATCTTTACCGACAGACACAAGATCGAGATTACGACAATACATAGATCGCGCGAAAGACTGGGTCGAGTGAACTCTGGAGAAACCACCAAGTGTCAAGAATAGTGTGCTGCCTTGCTACCACAGAGTACTCTCTGTCGCTACGCTCGGCAGCAACAAGCAAACGAGAAAACAAAGGATTTAAATGCTAAATATAAATTATGTTTCGTTAATTAAAATTTGAAATATTATTTAATAAGTTATATCACATGTAATAGCTTGTGTTGTTTGTTACTGAACACTCGTTGAAAGAAAATATCAGGGCAAAACTTTTACTCGAGCGATGAAAATATTTGCAAAATTTAAAGCGCGGACGTGCTTAAAATACTGTTTTCTCCTCGTTGAGATAAATTTGAACACATCTAACTATAGATATTTAACTTGGCTTTATGTCTCAAGTAAAATTGAACGGTGCTTTTTTGTGCTTTTTTCATAAAACGGAGATATCTTGCAGCCTTTATAGTTATACTCCACACGACAATTCTGCGACTACTTATATACTTATGATTTGATGCAGATAAGACGATATTTAAACAACACAAATTTTCAATTATTAATTAAACGAAATCACTTCCTGCCTAAAATACATATATAAACGTCTAGTGAAGGATCTAGTATCAGCTTATATATTTAAAATTCGTATCGATTTCACATGCAAAATGAACAAAGCGATTGTTGAGGAAAAGACATGCATTTTGAACTCGATTTTGACGACATTTTTTCTTTTTTGTCAAAGCGCGGACGTGTTTAAAATAGTGTTTTCTCCTCGTTGAGATAGGTTGAGATAAATTTGAACACACCGAACTATAGACATTTAACTTGGCTTTATGTCTCAAGTAAAACTGTACGGTGCTTTTTTGTGCTTTTTTCATAAAACGGAGATATCTTGCAGCCTTTATAGTTTTCCGTATACTCCACACGACAATATAGATTCGCGACTACTATACTTATTTATGCAGATAAGATGATATTTATAAAACAACACAAATTTTCAATTATCATTTGAACGAAATCACTTCCTGCCTCAAATACATACTATAAACGTTTAGTGAAGGATCTAGTATCAGCTTATATAGTTAAAATTGATATCTATTTCACATGCAAAATGAACAAAGCGATTGTTGAGTCCAGCTCTTCGCAGATAAAAAATACAGTATATAGAGCAGTTGTCCCACACTTCCATAACCCCACAAACCTTGTGTTCTTATGCGTGTCGTTATATTAAATATCTCAATATATATATATATTTATTAAACGGTGAGGACATTCTATAAACGTTTAGTGAAGGATCTAGTATCAGCTTAAATGAGTTAAAATTGATATCTATTTCACATGCAAAATGAACAAAGCGATTGTTGAGTTCCAGCTCTTCGCAGATAAAAAATACAGTATATAGAGCAGTTGTCCCACACTTCCATAACCCCACAAACCTTGTGTTCTTATGCGTGTCGTTAAAAGACATGCGATTTTGACGACATTTTTTCTTTTTTGTCAAAGCGCGGACGTATTTAAAATAGTGTTTTCTCCTCGTTGAGATAGGTTAAGATAAAGTTGAACACACCAAACTATAGACATTTAACTTGGCTTTCTGTCTCACGTAAAATTGAACGGTGTTTTTTTGTGCTTTTTTCATAAAATGGAGATACTTTGAAGCCTTTATAGTTTTCCGTAACACTGTCACTGCAATGTCAACGACTGCAGTCGCACGAAAACATTCACGCTGAATATTTTTGGAGTGTCGGCGGCAGTTATACCAATAATAGAAATCAAATCAATTAGTAAAAAACACTTTACAATGAACTTTCAATGGATTCCAAGCAGGCCGGCTGATTAACACAAAAACGGTTTATAGGATCGAGACGGTAATTTATGATAATTTATGTAAGTGCCCGGATGAGTTAGGGGCAGTTGTTTATTCCATGTGCTTGGTCATATACAATATATAGTTTGTAGTTTTTTGTACGTGGAAGTGGCCTAAATACGAGGTAAAACATTTGATTTATGACTTTTTTGCTTGGGATAAGTATAGATTGTGATGAACCTTTATTGTTTATTTAGAACCATCATCATCGTTTATCGATTTTATATCATTCGTACATTGACATTGTAGAAATAAATATATTTGATCGATTGTGTGTTGTTTTTTGCGTCTTTGATGTGTCTCTCGTTGGTCACATAAGCTGGGAATCGTTTATAGCTTATAGGTTATATATTTAAGTTTTCAAATTGTCGAACAAATTGTAGTTGTTTTTTTTTTCAAATTCTAGCTGTTTTTAATAAATACATGCATGGTCAATTTTCAGTGGGCTATATGATTATTGAAAAATAGTAGCCAAGCAATGTCAGAATATTCTTACTGTGAAAATGTTTATCCTACCTTCGCATTATGAAGTAAAACATCCCATTTGATACCAAAATTCTCGTATTTGGAATATGCCCACATTCGATCAGCTCGATTCCTTTTCAAATTTTTATTTCGCTCATGATGAATCTTTAAAGCCCTTTTTCCTTCATCAGATATACAGAAAATGAATCCAACAATGTCTTCAAACCATCAAGTTGTTTATGAATGCAGAAAACATTTTTTTACTTTAGTTTTTTTCAGCTCTTTTTTGCATAAACATTCCAATTCCATTTTTATTGACATTATAAATTAATGTATACGGGGGGTACGCGCTTCACACAAAGATCAGGGGCGCTATCTCCGTTGCACCACAGAGGAAGTATATACAGAGGGTTCACTCAAGCCAAAACCAGTCACACGCACGATCGGCCATACTGCGCATGCGTAACCTCCCAGCCAGTACCGTGAAATTTTTTTATAAGGAAATAGATGGGGAAATCCGAATTTTTGTCATAAAAACAGCGATTTTAACGAAACTATCCAGGTGATGACGGTAGATGACACTAGATGACACAGAGGAAGTATATACAGAGGGTTCACTCAAGCCAAAACCAGTCACACGCACGATCGGCCATACTGCGCATGCGTAACCTCCCAGCCAGTACCGTGAAATTTTTTTATAAGGAAATAGATGGGGAAATCCGAATTTTTGTCATAAAAACAGCGATTTAAACGAAACTATCCAGGTGATGACGGTAGATGACACTAGATGACGGTAGATGACACTAGATGACGGTAGATGACACTAGATGACACTAGATGACACTAGATGACGTTAGATGACACTAGATGACACTAGATGACGGTAGATGACACTAGATGACGGTAGATGACACTAGATGACGGTAGATGACACTAGATGACGGTAGATGACACTAGATGACGGTAGATGACACTAGATGACACTAGATGACACTAGATGACGTTAGATGACACTAGATGACGATAGTTGACAGTAGATGACACTAGATGACGATAGATGACAGTAGATGACAGTAGATGACACTAGATGACACTAGATGACAGTAGATGACAGTAGATGACAGTAGATGACAGTAGATGACACTAGATGACGGTAGATGACACTAGATGACGGTAGATGACACTAGATGACGGTAGATGACAGTAGATGACGGTAGATGACGGTAGATGACGGTAGATGACAGTAGATGACACTAGATGACGATAGATGATACTAGATGACGGTAGATGACCTAGATGACACTAGATGACACTAGGTGACGGTAGATGACACTAGATGACGGTAGATGACACTAGATGACACTAGATGACGGTAGATGACGGTAGATGACGGTAGATGACGGTAGATGACACTAGATGACGGTAGATGACACTAGATGACGGTAGATGACACTAGATGACGGTAGATGACACTAGATGACAGTAGATGACAGTAGATGACACTAGATGACGGTAGATGACACGTAGATGACAGTAGATGACGGTAGATGACACTAGATGACGGTAGATGACAGGAGATGACACTAGATGACAGTAGATGACGGTAGATGACACTAGATGACGGTAGATGACACTAGATGACGGTAGATGACACTAGATGACGGTAGATGACACTAGCTGACGGTAGATGACACTAGATGACACTAGATGACGGTAGATGACACTAGATGACACTAGATGACGTTAGATGACACTAGATGACGGTAGATGACACTAGATGACACTAGATGACACTAGATGACAGTAGATGACACTAGGTGACACTAGATGACACTAGATGACACTAGATGACAGTAGATGACGGTAGATGACACTAGATGACGGTAGATGACAGTAGATGACAGTAGATGACGGTAGATGACGGTAGATGACGGTAGATGACAGTAGATGACACTAGATGACGGTAGATAACCCTAGATGACACTAGATGACGGTAGATGACACTAGATGACGGTAGATGACACTAGATGACGGTAGATGACACTAGATGACACTAGATGACGGTAGATGACACTAGATGACACTAGATGACGGTAGATGACAGTAGATGACGGTAGATGACAGTAGATGACAGTAGATGACGATAGATGACAGTAGATGACTGTAGATGACACTAGATGACACTAGATGACGGTAGATGACACTAGATGACGGTAGATGACGGTAGATGACACTAGATGACGGTAGATGACACTAGATGACACTAGATGACGGTAGATGACACTAGATGACGGTAGATGACCTAGATGAACAGTGGATAACGGTGTACACGTGAATATAGAGCGAGTGTGTCTCATATTCGCGTATATAGGACATGGATTTATTACCCAGAATAGGAAGGTATAGCTTCTACTTCCTATTCTGTGACCGAGTGAACCCTCTTTATATCTTTACTCTTTGGTTGCACCGCCCGTGTTTTATAGCGCCCTGATATTACCAAAGTTCTTGGCATTTTTGCTGTTTTGCATTGCTATATTTTCCACTTTAAAAGGGTGATATTGAAGCATAAACTGGTCTAATTGTTTTAAAAACATGCCTAAGCCACGACAAAGTACTCAAGGTAAATGTTTTTCGTCTTTGTTTTGTATTTTTTTACATTTTTAGCTACTAAATTGGCGTCACAAATTTTAACGAAATTTGTGATGTATTTTTCACTGTTTAGTGCTTGAAATATTTGCTAAAATTGACTGGGAATACGTAGAGTTTTCATCGTTGAATGGCGTGGTTATATTTATTTGCTCTTTGACTAAAATGTTTAGCTGTATTGTTGCTAAGGGGCGACATCCATACTCACATTGCCACGCAAAACGTCATTTTAATTTTGACGTTTTGAGTGGGTGGGTGGGTTTTCAAGAGTCAGTTTGACGTTTTGCGCGGCAGTTTGATGTTTTTTATATCAGAAAATATTGAACACATGTGCAGAGATAATTTTGGATGTATATGTAGAAGTTAAGTTGAAGTATTTGTGTATTTCCCTGTACCAAAGGCTTTAAAATACGTTAGCAGTTTTCGCGAAAATACGAAAAATGTTTAATATAGGTATTAATTTTGTATCATTATTTAAAACTACATAGGCTTTCATTTGAAGCATTATTACTTACAGGTAACACCTTTGAGGCCTCCCTTTAGTTTTAATAACAATATACACTTGACGTTTTCAGCACTGGGTGGGTGGGTGGGTCAAAATGAAAACGTCAAAATGACGTTTTGCGTGGCAATGTGAGTATGGATGTCGCCCCTAAACATGCCGTTCTTGAGAATTTGGTTTTCAACTAGGTTGGGACACAGAGTAGATAAGACATACAGAGACGTAACTGACCGTTGTAAACACTGCGGAAGATTACGTTTTCATGTACCCACTTTTTTTCAGGCGAGCGGGCGAAAAATGATCAACTGCGCGTGCTCAGCAAGTTTAAAGTGAGTCGTCATCAGGTCGTCATCCAATCAGATGCATGCATCTAGTAACTTGCCGAGCATGCGCACAAAAAAAGTGGGTACACTAGTTACGTCTCTGTATGTCTCCACTCTGTGGTTGGGACATCCAACCACGCCATCAGCCCATTGAAAACATTAGGTCACGTCAGCTAGTTTCCTATCCATTTATTTTATTATCCATGCTTATACTGCCGGATAAAAAAAACCTTGAAAAGCCAGAAAAGGTTTTCGCTGCTTCGCAAATGCTAGTACTTCCACTTTCCAAAATCAAAGTTTTCTTTTTTGTCAAAATTTTCCTTTAAAAATTTCGCCACTTTTATATTTCCGATTAAGGCGATTTAATAAACAAGACGTCTGGTATTGCTAAACCAAAGCCGCTAGAACTGTAAGAACAAAATCATGCATCTGTGAGTATTAACTTTGCTTTCTAAACGTGATTGAAAGCAAGTTTGACTTGAAATAGCGTTTCATTTCGGTATTAGGCAGCAACATCCCGAAATGTCGGTATATCGGTATTTTTAAATTGTCAATATCGCCAAACCGGTATCTAAGCAAATACCGGTATATCGGATATATCCGGTATATCGATCCAGCCTAGCTGAAATATTGCTAACAACTCCCTCAGGCCCAACTGGTCCTGATTTAGGAAAGCTGTCGACTATGAATGCTAATGCTGTGGCATTGCTTGGTCACGCCTCTCATCAATTGTCCATGCACCAGCGACAAGCTATTAAACCATTCTTAAACAAAGAGTATGCCACACTTTGTTCACCACAGAGCCTGGTTACAGAGTTCCTGTTTGGTGATGAGCTTCAGTCTCAACTGAACAACATAAAAGCCTCAAACAAGATTGGTAACAACGACGATCACGAAGCCTCAAACAAGATTGGTAACAACGACGATCACGAAGTTTTATGGTGCCTTTTGCGACCAAAACGCCTGCCTCGAGGATTCTCACATATCATAGCTGCAGTTGTCTATCATCCTCCTGATGCCAACTATTAATATCTCAATGAAAGAATATCTTAAAAACTCATTAGAATTTATCGAATCAAATTACCCGAACAGCGCTATAATCCTAGGTGGTGATTTTAACAAACTTTGTTTTAAATCCCCAGCAAAGCTCTTCCATCTAAAACCTATTATAAACTTCCCTACTATTATTATTATTATTATTATTATTATTATTATAAAATTGAAACCACATTGCAGCCAGAAGCTGAATTGCGTGGATTACATATTATCACATGCACTACATATAAATATATTATTAATACAATATTATAAAACCCACCCACGATCAAAATTCGATTAAAATGAGCATAAAATCTATCCTACAAACTTTCTACACATAGCAGGGATGAAAGAGTTATAAAAGCGGTTCGTGCGTGTAACGTACATATTAAAATACCGATTCGTCCTGAAAGAATAATCAGTCTCGTTCTTCGGGGGCAGCAGATGATGAAGTTTATGCATTGGATCCTTGATGATACTCGTAAAGAGTTTGTCACACATGTCCTCTCTTCTTTGAAATAGAGTAGGCAGTCTATAATACTCAAGGGCCTCACAATATGTCATTTCAGGAGATAAAATTTTTAGCACACGTTTCTGGACAGTCTCAAGTTCGTCCGCCAAATACTTTGGGATGGAATGATGGAAGGCTTGCGCACAATACTCGAGCACAGGCCTGATCACTGTACAATAAAAGTTCAAAACATCTTTGACATTTACGCCTGCCCGTTTCAATAATACTATAAAATAGAGGCGTTTATTAGCTTTCTTTATACTCTCTCTGATGTTATCTTTCCACTGAAGTGTGCCTGTCATAACAAGACCCAATATTTTTGCACTCTCAACTATAGGCAATGCTTCTCCACCCACCAGTACAGGAACAAAAGGTTGTTTAATTTTTTTAAAATCGATTCTCAGTTCTTTACATTTCTCAGCGTTAAGAGATAGCGCATTCGCCTTCGACCAATCTTCCACAACATCAACTGCGACTTGAACACGGCTCTCTGTGTCCTTACTAACTACTTCAGCAACTGTTGTGTCATCAACAAACTTCCACCTCGATATATCACAAATATCAAGAT